TTTATGCACAGAACTGTCATGTAGAGGCAGGTTATTGGCCTGACTAGTACCACATAAAATGTGAGAAAGCCTGAAAGCCTACTACTTATCTTCGGACTTTCAACAGCAATCACTCCTCGACCCAGACACACTGAGAAGTGTGAAAGGTGTATCACTAACTCCAAAAAGAGATGGGAGCAGGCAGAGCTTGAATATCAGCTGGCTTCAGAGCAGGCTGGTACACACAAACCTGGCAGAGGCGGAGGCACCTGAGGCACACCTGCAGCCACAGGCGCAGCACTGATAAGATGAGTGAGCAGGCGTATAGATAACAGACTTGGTGGGCATAAGCTCGCAGTCTGCTTGTCCTTGTGCCTTCAGCCCTGTGTGTGAAGAGCTTGTGCCTTTCTACTACCACTTTCCTTGAGTAACAACGTATGTTCTCAGTTGCTGACCAGGTGTGCAAACAGCAAAGTGAGTAATGGGGGGCTGTGTTTGTCAAAAACAAATTTCCATCCAATTGCAAAACTGCATCTTTAGGGAACTACCTTAATTCATTGAAGTAGGACCAGCCCCTGCAGGGCTCCAGAGAACACATGTGATGGCAGTGGGTAGATAAGGCAGAGCAGACCTGGAGGGACAGTGAGACAGAGTACTGCAGGAGGTATTTTGAGCACACGAGGCTTAAAATCAGCTCAGAAACCTCTGGTTAAACCCCAGCCCCTGATCATGTAGTCCTTACAGCGCTCCAGCATGGTTGGATGGAGAAATACCAGTGGCAAAACAGCAGCACGGGAGAGCAGTGCCTAGGCCGATGGACATGTTAAGAGGATGTAGTGGAACGTGAGCACTCAAGACAATGAAGCAGGCACAGACACCAACACCTATTTCAATCAGTACCATGCCAGCTTTTGCCTCCACCTTCCAGTCTGTGCCAAGTCACGCTATCAAAGCGGCATACAAGTTGTGCCACAGGACGGCTGAGCAGAAATTAAGCTGTCCAGCTCATTTGACCCTACCCTGACACTGCCGATTACAGCTCCACCCACAACAGCAGCTACCAAGACATAAAATAGTGATCCTTCAAAAGTAGCAGAGCCCCAAGCTTACAAAGGAGCACATTTTTCAAGTGTTGCTTCTGAAAGGAAGTTTCTTTTTCATTTTTTTCCCCAGTACATTTAATGCTGTAATTGATCAGAATGAAGACATAAAAAAAGTCTTCTCCAATGTAGCAAGCAGTGTCCTGTGGAAGCGGTGGCTCTTATAAGTTGTTTAATCAGGTATTTTTCCACCCTTCAGAAAAGATATACAAACTCAACACTTGCCTCTTAGCTCTTCTACCCAGAGGATGAAGTCCTGGCTATTCCAAATTTTACTACAACCTCAGAATTTACAGACTCTCTATAAATCCGTATTCAAAAAGATAACTCGTGTAGAAGAAAAGCCCTTCTCAGCAAGGCAGAAAGTCCCAGTATTCAACATCTGTAGAGAGAAGGAACTGAGGAAGGAAGGGAAAGACGTGCTGCTTTTCACACTAGACATCAGGCTAGTGCCAACAGCAGAGGAGCAATCAACAGCTCACAGCAGGTTTTTGGTATAACAACAACTTGAAACTGCTGTTGTGGAAACTATGGCAGTAGTGGAAGCCAAAGCAGAGTGTTTCTGACACTCAGTGATACCTTTACACTGGCAGTTTACTTGCCGAGAGCCCGTCTTACAGTTCTTCTACAGGAAGACTCATTTCTTCTTTGAAGGTCTCTCATAAGACCATCTTGCAACTCAGCTCTCCCACCCAATAGTAAAACAAATCCAAAAAGCATAATTAAGACATCCTGTACGCTAGAGAAACTTCAGAAGGCATAATATATAACTGTTCATATTATCAGATCTGCTGCTCCGAAATAACAAATTACAGCAAAACCTTAGTGTGCACTGTAAGCTGCTCAGAAACCACTGCACTGTCAGCATGCAATTGCACAGAAGAAAATGTAATAGCTTCTAAAGGCAGTACATAATCATTTCCAATCCCTTGCAGGTACAGACAAACACACGTACTGGTGGCATGGGTTGATTTACTGAGTTATTGCAAAATACAATACTTTGCAATCAATACAGAGCAACTCTATTCAAAAACTATTAAATACACTGTAACATCCGTGTCCTCTTGTGATAACAAAGTAAAAAACATTAAGGTTTTAACAGCTGGAACATCAAATGATGATCCTCACAGAACAGTAACAAAAGCACTGGTTGAAATCACACTCCAAGTATTTCATTAGATGCAGTGTATGATCTATGCAGCGACTTTAATACTGGAATCCAGCACTCAAGGCTAGCTCTGGTTCACTGTATACCTGCATTTTAAAACGTTCCATTTTTATTTAATCCACTACTTAATGTTCTTGCCACTACCCTCTGCTTAGACCATGCTGCCCCGAATTAGCCTCCCTTCAATGACTGACATCACTGATGGACAGCCTCTGGAGGGCCAATTCAGATCTCTCCATAACAGCAGGGGAGATCATTAGAGGACAGGGAAAGGAATGAACATCAGAAGCAGGAAAGTAGGAACGAGAGGCTGTGACAGAACAAGCAGTCAAAAACAGGACAGTGCATCCGTGATTGTTACAAAATACTGTTCAAGCGGCAGAACTGGCACGTGGATGCTTGTTGCTAAACAGCTCAGTGATTTGTCACTGTAGGTGTTACACACATACAGAATTCAGCAATAGCGCAGTAAATGGTAAAACTGAGATCACTAATTTTACAGCAGTGATCAAAAGCACCTTTCCAATGCTTGCCAGTGCAAAGCTCACGTCCAAAATGATGGGGCTGAAAATAGTTGTCAGTCAGCAGAGGACTTGTGAGAACACATGTGAATTCCAGCCAGAACTTCTGACAGAGAACACAAAGCGCCATTTTCCAAGCAGCACTTGAATAGTTTACTTAAGTTCCCCCTCTCCCTCGCAATCCCTCTTTTAAAGTAGTAAAAACAACCCCAAAAACCAACCAACCAAACACAACCAAACAAAAAATGAAAGTAAAAAGACTTCATGGGAAATATTTTTAAAAGGTGTTGTCAAACACCATTTCCTCTGTAACAGTATACAGAAGTCAGCTTCCAACAAGATGACATATCATATTTGCCTTTCCAATACTTTTAGGGTGCAGTTCAGCAGTGTGAGCACCAGGTCTGCATTTACAAAATGTGTGCTTGTCCCCACAGGCAAGTAGATATTGTACCGCAGCATCCGCTTACACCTGTAAGCTTTGTATACCTAGTTGGTGTGTATACACCTTGCAAGTACAAAACAGGCTCTTGCCTTTGAAAACCACAGTACTTAAAATATCTAAACCATTAGACTTCAGATCTCTTGCTTTGGTATTGAATCAATAGAAAAGTTACAATGCCATTCTTCAGTCTTACACAGACTGAGTTATTAACCAAGAAAATAAAAAAAAGTAACAAGTCTCAGTATCCAAAGAAATCTACAGATACATTCATCAGTATGTAGTACATTACGAACAAGGAGGCAACACATGGAATCGCTGTAGTTTGAATATAACCCAAGGAGTTGTAGGAAAGCCCGAAAGTCTTCCTAACATTTTTTTCTCATCTAACATTTAATGTTACTGTAGCAATGATATAGCAGCTTCTACTATGTTACTTCCCAAGTTGTACACTTTAGGTTTGATTGAAAAGGGTGGTGGGAAATGAAGGGCCTCTGAGGAGTTCAGCAGCAACACTTAAGTGCATTGAAAACATTGATAATCTGTGGCACGTAGGAATGAATGGATTACACAGGATACTTCTTTCTATTTACAGTATCATACACTTGCATAAAGTCTCTGCTGCATTTTTGTTTTTAGTACTTAGCCTGTGGCAAATCACAGTAACTTTATTCAAAGAAAAAGGAAATCCCATTTTCTTAAGACTAAGTGACTAATGGGTATTATTTATCCTCGTTTAAGCTATCTACCCCTCTGAACCCCATGAATCTCAAAATCTAATTGGCACAAAAATATTTTGGTAACTTAATACAGGAATTGATTGCTCTTGATTGTTTAGCTCTTGACTTAATCATTACATTCACTGCTGGAGAATTACCCACTTTGCTAGATGTCAGAATTAATACATTTTAAAAAGAAAACAAAAGAAAACCACACCAAAAAAAACCTGAAAGAAAGAGTGACTTTGCTGTTGGGTATCTGACTGCATGATAGGAAATACCAAAGCAATGGGGAATATCACAGTAGTATCATGCTGCCTCCCAGATACCAAAGACTACAGCGAGCCTTCACAAATAATTATGTTTATGGAAGTAGTAAGCAACTCAAATTCAGCAAAAAACTGCCTTATCACCAGGCTTAGTAGGGCATCAGAGCCTTCAAAGCAGTTTCTGGTATCAGTCTGAAGACACTGGGATTTCTGGTTCCCGCTGATGCAGAGGCAAATTAGAGGGAAGTGGGAAGAAACATTGTACACAATGTGACACAGCTGAAAAAGTGACATATTTGCACTTGAAGATGCAAAACAATTAAATGATATGACTTTTGTCTCTGAAGGCCGGAGGCATTGCCCTCTACTTTGCAATAGATTTTCATGTAAGTATTTAAAAAACTTCAAAGAAATCGAATGTGTAACATCCAAGCAGAAGGACAATGCAGAACAAAAGAACAGAGTTTGAAGGTCAATGTCAAATCCTTTACAAGAAACCCGGACTCATTTCTTCGCTGGTAAACCCCTGTCACCAGGTCTAAAGAGCCTTTACATAAAAGCAAGCAGATGGATACAAGTATTAAATATTTACTAACTTGTATAGAAAAGTTTAGCTGTGAGACTGAGAAAGAAGGGCAGAGTTGCTTTCAGTCAAAGGACTGCATATTCTTCTAGAAAACAACAAAAACACAGTAAAACAAAACAAAAAAATCCAACCAACTATGCCAACTGATTATCAGTTTACTAACTTTTGTGCTTAAGTCCTCAACTAAGATATTAAAAATGCACTTGCAACACCTGAACACAAAACAGCATGTACCTGCTATGACAAAATTATTTTTCTTTCCAGCATACTCTTCATTAGCTTTTGGTGCCACAGCTGAAGGAACGAGATTTAAATCAGTGAATGGCAAGTGTCAGCAGGCAATGATTTGCACTACACCGGTGGCTCCATCTTGATCATCCTTTTCTTCAACACCTCCTTTTCTTAACTTTTAAATTTAAAAAAAATCAATCTCCCATTTGGAAATTCAGAGCCAGGCCTGATTTTCTTTGTCATCTCTGGTCACACTGTAGGATATCTTCAGAGACCATTCCTATTTCTTGCCAATTCCATTCGTTACTTTTGATTTGGAGTGCCGATTCCTCCTTCTAGATGAATGGCTTTCACTGTTGACTGAATGTTTTGGTGGACTATTGTCAGCACCTGCTGAGAAATAAATATTTTTTGACATATATATATATATATTTGACATTGTCAAACTCTTATCTAAAAGACAGCAAGGCTTTCTAGAGCTATAATGTTTACAATGTGGATTATTTCAGGCTAACACAAACTGGTTGATACTCGTACACCATCTAGTGGCCTATTTTCTTGTTAAAAAAAAAAAAAAAAGGCAATTCTTAAGACTTCTGTAAAATTCTTCCTCCAAAAAAAAAAAATTTCAGAAGTTTGCTATAGCAGAATATAGTGGTGAAACATCGTCCATTTTGATGACATCAATAATTAAACCTTCGCATTTTTATTATTGGCAATTGGAAATTAAGAAGTACAGACACAAGGTCACAGATCCTTGTAAGAGTACATTCCTTGTTTTCAGCCTTTCATATGACAGACCATGTTTGACTCTGGGAAAGCAAAGGGAGACAATGGGGACTGAAACAAGAATTCAAGAGCAAAACATGAAAAAGTATGAAGTTTGTAATTAATGAAGTAACAGAAAGTCAGAGAAAGATTTGTTTGGCCAGATTTCTCCAGCATATATAAATGGGAAAAACATTTTGAGTGCAAGCATTTTTTCTCCAAAATATAAAACCCCAAAAACTTACTAAACTGAGAACAAATTAATATCAGCATCAAGAAAAATCATGTATGAAATATAAAGAAGCTCCACTACAGGTTCTTTTCAAGTGTATGATAAATAAGAAATATTTTTAATGACACAAAGACCTGAAGCATAAACTCTGACAGAGGTAACTTCTGGGTGTGAATCTTGATATTTGTTCAATAAGCAAGACCACACTAAACAGTTAACAGAGAAGGCAGGTAACCTAACTGACCTCTAGCGTAGGGAAAAGAAGTCAGAGAAGGAGGCTGCCTTCGCTTAGGACAGAGAAAGCTGTTTATGACCACAGCACTGCATTGACCAGGCAAGTGTCAGCAAGAACACAAGCTCCAGGGCACATTCTTGACCGTTTCTTAACAAGCAGGAATAAAAGCACAATGCACATTGTCACGTTTCAAATCAAATACGCAATGTTCAGAGAGAAAACCTGTCCACAACAGTTATGAAATGCATAATGCCCTAAACCTACAAGAATAAAGACAGAAAAATTCAGTTGCTACATTAAAAAATAAATACATTTCCAAGAGTTAGAAGAAAAAAAGGCAGCAAAGCCACATAGCTTTGCAGATGGTTTGTATGTGTAGCTCCTGCAGGGACGTTTAAATAAGTCCAGATGTCTCCAAGGTAAGTTTCTCAAGCTTCATTTCCTAGTGCTCAGCCTTAATGCTACCACTACGAGAATATAGGTGCAAAAGTGCCAATACCTCTACTGAACTTAGAATGAAGCCAGGAAGCATCTGGACTGTATGGGCTGTCTTCGCTTTCCGATAAGGTCTGTAAAAACAAAGACACATGTCATTGGGATGCTGGGTCTTGTGGTCAGCGCTTCTCCTGTTTGCAATTAGACTTGTAAATTTAAACTGTGGCAGAAGTCCTCATAAAACATTCAGCCAGTACTTAGGACTTTTCCCTTCCCAGTTAGAAGGTACAACATCAATGATACAATAAGAACTCACCCTTTGCCACATGATCTGTTGTGTAACCAAGTATTCTTAATATTCCCCTAGCATTCCACCTGTACAATGGGAACATTAGCTAACCATTCATCCCTGAATGCTTTCCTAAAATTACAGCCTCATTTTGAGTAACTAAGAGGACAGCATTCTTTAGAAACCACAGTGTAATTTGGGATCTGTCCAAGGCCCGCTGAATTCAGAGTTCTTTCTATTGACTTCAGTTAGACTTTGGACCATCCCCCCTCACCCCCATTTATACTAGCTCTCGTAAAGAATTCTAATATCTATGAGCATTGCAGTTTTAACTCCGGTATAAAACAAAACCAGGCTTCTTAATAAAGTACCTTTTCTCGGTGGCCGTAGTATTCTGCGTACCAAACCATACCATATAAACACAGGAAGGTTGTAAAGGCCTAAACAAGCGGGGGAAGAAAAAGAAAAAACAATCTGTAAAACTTTTTCCAAATTCCTTGCTGGTTCAAGGTTTCAGAGTCCCTGGAGATTCCGCATTCAGAGACTTTCATGCTCTGTTTCTCTCTTTTGTCAGGATGAGCGAGACTCGTGCTTCAACTTCAAGGTACACATACATTCTGCCACCACGGGGTATGCAGACCAATTCGCAACGGGAGCACGAGAACACATACAGATCACCCACATGCATGCCAGATACACTCTCAGTATGATTTTTGTCCTCACCCTGTACATTCATCATACAAAGGCAGTTGGTAGGTACTTGTAGGTATATTATCAGGAACAACCAGTCTGGGAAAAAAATTAATTTTCCTTCGCCCTGCGCCATGCTTCAGGCTGGGTTACATGTTTGATTTTGTGGTGCTCTGATCCGGGCAGCAATTCAATACTTTTATCTTCTGGAGTTTCAGGAATAAAATTGTCATGCTAAATATGAGAACAATAAATTCTGACTCCCTATCACCTGTTCAAACTGTGTTCCCAGCTAGAAGGGAGCAGTATTTATCTGTCAGCCCATTATAAATGCCTTATTTTTCACTGACCATTAAAAGTGTGTTTGGCATCAGAGTTACAAGTCTGGCAAGACAAACATCCATTTACTGTTATAAAATGGGCATTTCATGCTGCATTTGCAGTAATCACACTGAAATACAGAAAGTTGCTGGCTGAGTGAGAACGATTTGCCTGATAAAGCAGAGTTGTTTATGTAGTTGTAAGACTTCAGTGTGAAACAACATGCATTACTTATTAACACTACTCATTTCATTAACTCCTGTTCCTTTCAGTGGGCACTAGAGCAAGCACCACCAAAGTTAGCCTCAATCAAACTGATATTTTCTCCCATTAAGATAAAGCGCTCTATAACTAGTGTTTGTTTCGTTAAGCCCTGGTAAAGTGGGTATATTCTGCTATGTCAAGAAATAAGAAAAAGTTATTCTAGTCCGTTCAAAACGATCTAGCGTTTGCTTTTCCTAGGACATCCAGAGCTCTTTACACGCATTCCCCGACAATGATCCCCTGCTGCCAATGTTCCGGAGAGGAAGCAAATAGATGTTTTCAACTCTTTTGCTATGCTTTATGTTTCACATGAGAAATCTCACTTACCACACAGAGAAGCCAAAACACAACATACAGTATTTGTGTTTTGGAAAAAAGATCCTGTCCGAACTTTATGCACACAATAGCTTCAAGGAAAGCAATAACCCTGTGGGTAAACGAAAGAGAGGGGGCAGGGGAAAGTCGTTACAAACACTAAGGATTTAACTCGCATGTTCACAACCCAGACCCCAGACCGTCAGCTCTAAATAAGCACTACTCTCTCGCGAGCACACACCTCCCCAACACCACCATTAACTGAAATTCTTTGGGAAGTTTATTTTTCTTTCTATACTTTTCTTCAGCATAAAAGCATACAAAAAGTGATCAACTGGCAGTTTACAACTCCACGAGCCTCTGCTTGTCCAGGGAACAGCAAGAGTGTGTGCCAATAGCAGATAATTTTTGTTTATACCTACCACTGTGCTTCAGATAAAGCTCACCAGATAAAATTTCTTTTCCATGCTGAACAACAAACAGACTCTCTGTGGATGAACTAGAACTGTGCTGTGGATATTTCTCAACTGGATGTAAATTTACTACCATTCTAAATAGGCTACTTTGCTTGTTTTGGATGGATTCTAATGAGAAAATTAACATGAAACAGCATTTCAAACTCTCTGAGAATCAACACATTTGCTCTGGTTTATGTGTAAACTCAGGTCCACACTACAGTAACAGAGGACCTTGGGAGAAATGTGAGAGGAAAAATTACAGTATTTACTTTTCTCTCTGCCATTATAAGAATCAAAACAAGCATCTCCAGCTCTCTCCTCATACCAGATGGTTACACCTTTTCAGGCTCAAGGCTATGGAGGCTTGTCCACCACTTGGTGTGGAACAACAGGTTATGAATCCAAAGCTTCCTCACCTGCCATGGAAATATATTTAGTTTGTATCGGTCCTGGACACAAAATTACACTTTTTTAACAAATACAAGTGTAGAAACATGACTGGTGCAGCAAAAGTGTAGAAAATTGACCCTTCTCAAGCTGAAGCAAGTCATGAAGAAAACTATTAAATTTATAAAAGTTTAATACTTAACTTGTTCAATAGTAACTTAGAGGTTGTACATATGAGCACATGCATGAAAGCCCCTCAAATGTGCGCAGGCACACTTAACACCAGGTCAAGTGTTCCGGTCTCCCAAGCTCGACGTGGCAGGTCATGTTCCCTACCAGCACTCTCCACAACCAGGAAGCTGCCACAACCAGCTCTACTGCCTGGCAGACAGGACCCAGCTCTCTCCATGAAAGAGGGAGGAAAGATGTGGGCACAACTTAACCACTTGTATTGCAGAGACGGTCCTGGTGCAAAGAGTAAGTTACAGCTTTCTCTGTACCGTCTAATGTGACTTGCAGCATGATGAGCGGCGCCAAAACTTAGAATTGTGAAAGTAACACCTAACTGACCAATCCTGCAAATTAAGGAGGTGCATATTAGTAAAAACTTGAAAGCAGCATTACTCTGCTGGGTCACCAACTGATTTTCTTTTTTGGTTTTACATTATTATACTGATCCAGCTGCAGATTAAAAAATAGTTAAACTGAACTACAGCAGTGGGAACAGAAAGACCACCATCAGGAAACAAACATATGAGAGTATGACATACTCAAAGGCACAAAAAAACTCAATAGGCTATTTTCAACAAGGACTCAAAAAATTATACAGCTGTTTGTGCTGCATTTATACATTCTTTCCATTATTCTTGTCAAGAATACTTGGGTTAAGTACGTTGTACAATAGGACAGCTATTACAGTTAAAGAAGTGGTAAATCAAAAGGTAGAAGAAAGCTAACAGTGAAAGGTGTTCGTGTCCTACTAAGGGTGATGAGAACACTCAATAGAACTAAAGACACTGGAAGTTTTTATTCAATGAAAACGCTTTGGTAACATCCTAACAGATATTTCTCTTTGAAAGGCTTCATCTTAATGAAAATGGTGCCATTTCCAGCAGAGATGTTGCATTGACCTTGTTCATGCCTTACATCACCTACTGTCATCTATTTGAGAGTGACACTATGCTGTACGACAAGTTGCAGAGAACACAGTTTCCTACTAATGTAAGGCACTAATTTTAATTATTCCCATGGTTAAGCTGTTACAAATTAGATTTGTGCCTTTAGAAGTGTGTCTTCATCACCACAGATACGAATATTCTATATACTTAATTTTAACTGCTTCAGAAATTATATTCTGGACAGTTGTATTACTAGAAAAGTGCTCCTTCTCCAACAAACAACAGGAACTCCTAGCACTGCTTCTGTGGCAGATTACAGAAGTAAGCAGTATCAAGAAGAACACTTATTCCATGCACATTTCCTATGATTAGATTGGACTGTAGATGAATATTCCATTGCAATTCTTGTTATGTGATCAAAAAGAGGTATTTGGGCATCATATATTTACATATATGACATTAATGTGTTCAGTGATGCAAGGATGATGGTTTGACGCAAAGATGATGGTTTCCATAATCCTTAACAATTTTTCAGAGCCAGAAAGCAAACATTCAGCATCTATTTCCCTTCAGTTTGCAAAAGAATATGTTTACATTCTTTCTCTTGGATGAAACAGAAGTTCACCTACCTTTCTTTCTTTGTAATGTAGAATTTGAAAATTGTTCACCCAAAATGATAAAATTGTTTAAAATGTGTCTTCTACAAGACTCTAAAATTACCACTTATAGTTGAGAAAATTTAATTTTTCATATAAACATCTCAATTCCCAAATAATCTAAATACAGATTTCAGTAACGTGCCTGTATTCAAATGCAGATCTCCAAAACACTAATACAGTTGATCTGTAACCACCAAGATGTTTATGCATAAACAGAGCATGGTTATTTGATTCTAACTGTAAATTAAGTAGTCGCATTAATTGTGTGATTAATTAGTTATTTTCAGCACTAAAGAACCATCCATACCAAACCCAGAAAGCAGGTTACTCTGCCACAATCATTAAAAAAAAAAAAAAAAAAAAATTCTTTTTAAGGACTGTGCGTGTTACAGACTCTCTTTAGAAATCAACGTTAGGAGGAGGGAGATCCTCCCTAAGTAAGGAGGTTTAGGCTTATAGAAAATATATATCACCTCCTACTCAGCACCAGAACTAAACAAGAACAGAGTTACTACTTTTTTAATGTCCATTAGATGTTATGGTCATGAGTTGAAGACAGTAATAGATTCACCCAGGAAGGTGGCAAGTCAGTGAAAGAAGTGCATATTTAAGCCCAGCCAAACCCAAGGAGACATGCGTCATATTCTCCAGGGTACGTTTAAAACAAGAGTAGGTATTTTTTCAGTTACATTGCAGCACACTCTGCTCTTATCTCAATTAAATGCTGAGAAAGTGGTGGTATTTATGGTGGCGTAGCGCACCTGGAAACATGCCTTCCAACCCAGCACTGTTTCTAAAACTCTAACATCCCTAAGACTAACAGTAAAGGTGAGATAAGTTTGCCAGAGCACTGCCTCTAAATTAGATCTGAGTATTTTATGGCTCATTGAAATGCTATTCCAATTTAAAACAGTAATAGATTCTTCTACTAAATGCAAAAATGGTTCAGACAATTCTGGAAATAAGACATATACTAATCTTGACAAAGAGAATGAAATGGCCATCAAGAATTAGCTTCTTGAATAGTTTATTAAAATACATGTTAAATTTTTTTCTTTAAGATGTGATTTAGGATGTTTCATGTTTTCCCATTTGTACTTCCAAGACATAAATCAAAAGGGACACTACTATGCTGCTTATTTACAAGAAGTTTTTATAATCCTACAATAGCATATGCTTCAGGTTTCCAGAACATTTTAGTCAAGCCATCTAGACAAGGAAGTTCTCACCAGAAGCAATCATGCAAACTCTTCATTTCAAGGTCTCCTCCAAGAGACACGGTGAAAGAGACTGTAGCCAAGGTAACCACCATGCATAGTATCATTCCTTCCCTTCTTTGAGAATAGAATAGAAATAGCTGATAACTGCAGTTTGTTTTACTGTCTTCCGTCGCGACTCTGCTAACAGCAGCTACGCCCACATTGATGGCCAGGTAAACATTGCTCCGGTGACGGGCAAGTGGTAGAGGCAAGAGCTTTACCCTTCTCGCCTGACTGAGAATATGGGCAGCAAGGCCAACGCTACTTTGAAGGAGCCTAGCTTTACCCAGCAGTTTCTAGTTCTTCCTTCTGTTCTTCTCCTTACTTATTTTACCACTTCCCATTTTCTACCTCCAAATCCAGAATTTTCCTTTCCTCTGAACTTGCAAAGAAGAAAAAAAAGAAAATCTCTCCATACTGTTCTTTATACTAAAAACAACACAAGACAAGGACTGGCTTCATGCAAAGCCTCTTCCTTTGCTGGACACATATTAACACTTGCCCAAGTGCTTCAAGAATGCAGCAAGAACACTTACCCAAACACCCAGCACTGAGTTCCAACCCTCTTGCACTGTGTATCTGTGAGGTAGGCATAGTATTGCCTGAGAAGGGAAACAAAAAAATTCTTCAGTAAAGCTGAAAGTCCCCAGAGTACTGACATTTAGAAAAAAAAGTTTATGTTACAACTGTATCTATACTGAAAATGAAGTGCTGATGGTTAAAATCCCATGCAATAACTCTGGATGTCTACCAGATGGCTTCAATTCTAGTAGGACAGATTATTACATAGATCAAATAGCTTGAAACAACACAGAAAACAATCCTGAGAGCAAAGACTGGGAAAGTACCCAAACCAGTAGGCTAACAAAGCTACGTATTTGTCTCTTGCATCTCCACTGAAGCTCCAAATTTTTAGGCAAAATGCAACACCTTCAAAAGAATTAGAGAATCCTCCACTTTTTTCCACAGTTTTTCAATTAATTAACAAGTGCGTTTTCTTGAGAGATGTGAGTTTGAATCTTGAAAGAAACTGAATATGACTATTTTACATCCTGGGTGAGCGCTCTAACCACTGGCATGCTTTCCTGTCAAGAATAGAGGAGAATTTCTCACTGTTCTGAAAACAGACTGGAGACCATTCTGCTCTGTTCTGCATGCTCTTTATGCTCCTAAATTTTAAGAGTTCAGAGAGGGGAATTCCAAAGAAGTGGAACCAAAGTTCCTTTTCTCAGTCTCTGACTCCGATTTCCACTGACAGATGGGGAAGATAAGTGTTATTAATTCAACAATACAAGGACTGTTTAAGAATAAAGATTTCCACAGGTTGGCAAGTGCCACGAAAATGCTTAAAAGCTCACCTATACAGGAGCTAGGATGTTTAAGGTGATTTAATAAACAGTGTGAAATTGTGGCACATAACTTGAGACACTGACAGCTGTATTTTAGGAATAACCCAATGTGTGACTGCATTGGTTTATTTTTTAATGAAATAAATTTTAATTAAATTTATTTTA